AAACGTTAACCCATTCCATTCCCAGGTTCTGAAAACGTGAGTGACATGGACCTAGTTTTAAAAACTCTCCTCTAGATACTTCTCTTTAACTTTGGTGTCCTCACTTCTTTCACTCTGTGTGACAGGGTTATTAAAAGAGCATTTTTAAGGCCTGGGAAATAAATTAAGTCCAGACAAGTGTTTCGAGGTCTCTTTAATGCTTGGACAACTGGGAAAGAGAGAAGACAAGCTCCTTGAGGCCAGGACCCAGTATGCCTGATTCATCTGTGTCTTGCCCTCAGAGTTTAGCACGCTGTGCTTTCTAAATGATTGTCAAGGACAATGACACAGTCTGGGCTGCTCCTCTTCTCTCCAACACAGCAGCCAAGAGGTAAAATAGGCCAGGATGCAGTACGAAAAGCTGTCACTCCGTTACATCTCCCACTTGCCTAAGGTAGCAGATGATTGGGTTTTGCATGCCTGGTTTACACTCTTCAAATATTTATAGACAGTTCTCTTTGCCTCCAGCCCTAGTTGTCACTTAGCCAAGTTATACATACATGGTTCTTTTAATCTTTCCTTAGAAATCAATCCCACTAAGCTCTTTAATCATTCTAGTTGCATTTCTCTCAACTTTTGGCAGTTTGTCTTTCTGGTGATTTAGTCTGTGGCAAAGCAGGGAAAAAAGCATGAAACATAGACGGGTGTGGTCCCCTTTCCATTTCAAAATTCAATGCCTTTTATGTGCAAAATAAAATTATTTTTCTTCTGTTTGTATGAACATGTTTTTAAATATTCATATTTAAGTTGATGTATTAATAGACTGCAAGATAAACAAAAAAAGTATTATTGGTACTATATTGTCTAAGGATGATATTGTCACTGACTGAACCCTCTCATGTATAACTGGTCTAACTTGCAGTATTCAAATATGAGAAATGGGAATCTAGAGTAACATAGTCACTACAAAGAAGCTTAAATGCCCATCCTAAGGTACTGCCCATCTGTAAATACTTCTCACTAACTTTAGCTTTTTAGTAACAAATTTTAAAAATAAGTTAATTTTTACCATTATAAAAGGAATACACTAAAAAAATTCAAATGATCCGAAATAGAAAAAATTACCTACATGCTACAATCCAAAGTCAACATTTAGCATTTTTAATTATTTTTTGAATTTACAGATAAAATTTTGTTATTTATTGTATACAACAGGTTTTGAAGTACATAGACGGCCTTGTTTTATTGTGCTTCACAGATACTACACTTTTTTTTTTTTTTAAACAACTGAAGATTTGTGGCAAACCTGAGTCAAGCAATTCTATTGGCATCATTCTGCCAACATCATGAACCTACTTCGTGTTTCTGGGCCACATTTTGATAATTTTACTAATATTTAAAACTTTTTTCATTATTATTATGTCTGTTATGGTAATCTGTGCCCTTTGATGTTACTATTGTAACTGTTGTGGGGCACCACAAATTGTGCCCTTATAGGATAGCCAACTTCATTGATACATATTGTATATGCTGACTGCTCCATAAACCAGCCATTCCTTTGTATCTCTCCATCTTCTCAGGCCTCTCTGTTTTCTGAGACACAACAATATTGATGTTAGGCCAATTAATAACCCTGTGATGGTCTCCAAGTATTCACGTGAAAGGAAGAGCTGCAAAACTCTCACTTTAAATCAAAAGCTAGAAATGATTAAGCTCAGTGAGAAAGGCATGTCAAAAGCTTTAATCGGTCAAACACTGGGTCTCCTGCACCAGGTAGCCAGGTGATGAATGAAAAGGAAAAATTATTGAAGAAAATTAAAGCGATTAAACTAAAATGACAGCAAAAACACACAATGAGAAAGTGAAACAACCTTACTGCTGATATAAAGAAAGTTTTACTGGTCTGCATAGAAAATCATACCAGCCATAACATTTCCTAAGCCAAAGCCTAACGCGAAGCAAGGCCCTAACTCTATTCTACGAAAGCGGAGAGGTGAGGAAGTTGCAGAAGAAGAGTTAGAAGCTAGCAGAAGTTGGTTCATGAGGTTTACGGAAAGATGATGCCTCCATAACCTCAGAGTGCAGGGTGAAGCAGTCAAGTGCTGATGGAGAAGCTGCAGTGAGTTATACTGAAGATCTAGCTAAGACCATTGATGAAAGTGGCTGCACTTAAACAACAGATTTTCAGTGCAGATGAAACAGCCTTTTATTGGAAGAAGATGCCATCTAAGACTTTCATAGCTAGAGAGGAGAGGTCAATGTCTGACTTCAAAGCTTCCAAGACCGGGCTGACTCTCTCATTAGGGGCTAATGCTGACAGTGACTTGAAGTTGATGCCAGTGCCCATTTGCCATTTTGAAAATCCTAGGGTCCTTAAGGATTATGCTTAATCTACTCTGCCTGTGCTCTAGAAATAGAGCAACAAAGCCTGGATGACAGCACATCTGTTTATGGCATGGTTTACTGAAAATTTTAAGCCAACTGTTGAAGCCTACTGCTCAGGAAAAGGATTTTGTAAGGCTAGAAAGTGCCACAGATTCCTCTGATGAATCAGGGAAAAGTAAATCAAAAACCTTCTGGAAAGGACTCACCATTCTGGATACCACTAAGAACATTTGTGATTCGGTGGGGAGGTCATAATAACATTAACAGGAATTTGGAAAAAGTGATTCCAACTCTCACGGATGACTCTGAGGGGTTCAAGACTTCAGGGGAGGAAGTAACTGCAGATGTGATTTAAAGAGCAAGAGACCTATAATTAGAAGTGGAGCCTGAATATGTGACTAAACTGCCGCAGTCTCGTGATCAAACTTGAATGGATGAGGAGTTGCTTCTTCTGGATGACCAAATACAGTGGTGTCTTCAAATGCAATCTACTTGTGGTAAAGATGCTGTGAACATTGTTCAAATAACAAAAGATTTAGAATATTACACAACCTTAGTTGATAAAGCTGCAGCAGAGTTTGAGAGGACTGACTCGTTTTTAAAGAAGTTCTCCTGTGGGTCAAATTGTATCAAACAGCATCGTATGCTACAGAGAAATCTTTTGTGAAAAGAAGTCAATTGATGCAGCAGATTTCATTGCTGTCTTATTTTAAGAAATTGCCACAGCCACCTCAACCTTTGGCAACTACCCTGATCGGTCAGCAGCTATCAACATCGAGACCAGACCTTCCACCAGGAAAAAGATTACAACATGTTGAAAGCTCAGATGGTTGCTAGAATTTTTTTAGCAATAAAGTATTTAATTTAGTTTTATTGTTTTTTGAGATGGAGTTCTGCTCTTGTTGCCCAGGCTGGAGTGCAGTGGCATGATCTCGGCTCACTGCAACCTCCATCTCCTGGGTTCAAGCAATTCTCCTGCCTCAGCCTCCCAAGTAGCTGGGATTACAAAACATTCACCACCGTGCCTGGCTAATTTTGTATTTTTAGTAGAGACAGGGTTTCACCACGTTAGTCAGGCTGGTCTCGAGTTCCTGACCTCAGGTGATCCACCTGCCTTGGCCTCCCAAAGTGCTGGGATTACAGGTGTGAGCCACCGCACCAGGCTGCAATAAAGTATTTTAAATTAAGATATGTACATTGTATCTACATCATGATATTACACACTTAATAGACTACAGTACCGTAAGTTTAACTTTTATATACACCGGAAAACAAAAACTGTGTGACTTGCTTTATTGTATCACTTTATCATGATGGTCTGGAACTAAATCTGCAATATATCTGAGGTACATATATATGATGTAGAGTAACTAAAACTAACTAATTGACAAATGCATTACCTCTATAGTTATCATTTTTGTGGTGAGAACCTTTAACATCCACTCTCTTAGTATTTTTCAAGAATACAATATATTGTTATTACCTATACTCACCATCTATGTACAACAGATCTTTAACTTATTCTTTCTATCTACCTGAAAATTTGTATCTTTTGACCAGCATCACCCCAAAGTCCTCAGCTCTTAGTAACCACCATTCTACTTTGTAGTTCTATGAGATCAACTTTTTCAGATTTCACATATGAGTGATATCATATAGTATTTGTCCTCTGTGCCTGGTTTATTTCACTTAACATAGTGTCCTCCAGGTTCATCCATACTGTGGCAAATGGCAGACTTTTTTTCTTTTTTATGGCTGAATAGTATTCCATTGTGTATATATACCACATTTTCTTTATCCATTCATCTGTGGATGGACACTTAGGTTGATTCCATATATCCTGACTATTGTGAATATGCAATAAACATATGGTAATGCAGCTGTTTGATATACTCATTTTATTTCCTTTGGATACATATACACCCAGTAGTAGGATTGCTGGATTGTAGAGTCATTTTATTTTGAATTTTCTGAGGACCCTCTACACGGTTTTTCACAATGAATGTACTAACCATTTTTGAAGAATTCCATTTAAGCCTTTTCTGAAGTATTGTCCCCCCATCTCCAACATACATGGTCATACCATTTGCACCAGTGTAACACTTCGCCTTTTCACTTAATGTTACAATATAAAATTTCATGTGTTGCCTTGTCTTTAAATATTCATTTTTATTGAGTGCCAATCATTCCACAAGTAAGTGGGCGTGCCATAATTTTACAATTCCCTACTGTTGGACAGTTACATCATTTCCACTTTTTCTCTAGTTTAGATATCACTATGATGAAAATCTTTACATACAAGCAAAAAAAACTTGTGTGTAAAGTTTTTCTCTGTTTAAGATTATTCCTAGGTTCATAGCAGTAAAATCAATGTGTCAAAGGACAGGCAGAAAGTAAGTTGTGAGGTAAAAAATCAGTGCAAGTGTTATGTGAAGTGAAAAATGCCACCTTAAGTACAAAGATTTGTCTTTTGGCTCTAATGCTAACAAGTGAACACTCAAATCTTAGAAGGTTGTAGAAAACTGTCCGAAATGGCTAATTCTAATAAGTTAAATGTTGTACCCACTAGTATTCCACTTCTTTATTCACACAAGCATATGGCTGATCCCTTATTGAGTTTAAATTCTTAACCTTACCTAGATCTACCGTCAGAAGGCGAGTGAGCGCTGTGTAGAAGGTTGTTCGACACCTGAAGTCACTGAGACTGTAACTGTCACTGATGCCAAGAAAAGGGAAGTGTTCACTCTAATGAAAGCAAAAGAGTAATCCAAGTTACTAACGCTTTACCTCAACTATTTGTAGAATTCTATTCATTAATTAAAGAAATAAGACTTACCGTGTGGTTTTTTAGCATGAATTTCACAGCATCTATCTTCACAAGTTTCTTTAAAAGGATATAGGTAACAGAAGTTAAGGAATCTAAGGAAATATATTTGTCATATCAGTGTGTAATAAATCACAAAGTAACAGTGAACTGTAGTGGCATCAATTTCTACTTATAAAAAATAAATATAATTTCTAAAGAGCATTCCTATAGAAATGTCTTTCCTTTTGTTAAGAATGATAATCTATTATTAACCAATGTAATTACTTTTTCTATCTTATATATATTCTAGTTACGGAAAGAAAGAATGAATTTTATAATTAAGACAAGAACTCCTTTACTATTAAAGTCTTGAAAGTGGAAAATTAAAACTGACCCCTTTTTATATTTTGGGTGTAACTTGCGAACTTCTACTTACTTAATGTTATTTCATAATGAAATAATTATAAAAGACCCATAATAGGCTATCAAAAAAGAGAAAATTACTCAATTCTAAGAAACAGTGAGCTCTCTTAGTAGAAATCTAAGATCAGAATATAATTAGGAGGATATAGCAGACTGCATGTCATCAAGTATAGATGGACAGCTTAAAGGAACTAATATTTCTCAAGTGCCTGGTATGTAAAAGGCATTTTCCACATGTTAATTCACCTAATCTTCACAATTATACTGTTAAGTATTGATTATTATTTTTAGTCCATAAATAATGAAACAGGAACTAAGAGAAATTAAGTTGCTTGCCCAAGATCATATAGCCATGGATTGACAGTGCTGAGATTTGAACTGTAGTTTGGTTCCAAAGGCCATGTTCTTTCTGCTGTACCACATTATCACCTGAACAGTTCAACTTAGAAGGAGCATGAAGTTAAATCGGAAACATGAATACAAGGCCTAAATAATTTCAGGTATGATGTGGATTCTAAACACATCTACTCAGTATGCAAATACCCTCTTCTCTTACTCTACCATAGTCATGTGTTTCTACCAGAGCTAGAGCATCTCTCGGCCATTCCCTAACACCCACTCATGCCTTTCTTGAAGGCTATAATAATCTTATATGGCTCCATTCATATTACAAGGAAAACACTGGCTTTCTGTTTCCTTCACATCATCTCCAAATATATGACTCAGTATACTGCCTCTGCACAGGGGCACTGAAAAGTATAATTCTCAATTTTAGTCACTCAGGCATGGGTATCAAAGAGTGGAAAACACATTGGAACACGAGTCAGGAGACCTGGGCTTGACTATACCATTCAATGAATCCAAGTAATAAACTTAGCCTGTCTCAGCCTTAGTTTCTCTCTCCAACAAATGAGGATGAAATCTATGCCCAAGCTACTTCACAGGATTGTTCTGAGGACCACATAATGCAAATGTCTTTGCCAGTTATCAATCACGGAAAAAGAAAGATGCAGAGAATTCACAAAACGTGTGCAACTTGCAAGGCTAATTTTCACGATTCCATGAGATAGACAGTATCACTTCTATTTTTCAGGTAAGGAAATAAACTAAAAAAAATTAAATAATTTTTCAAAAGATAAACAATTAGTATGATTTATATTCAAGTCCCTCTGATTCCAAAGCAACTATTCCAGTTGCATATGAAGCATGTATGTTTGGCTTAGCCATATACCTGATTATTTAAAATTTGCATCTACATTTTAGCATGTATCTGTATTAGACAGTAAACTTTCTAAGGGCAGGGACGATATCCATGCATTTTCCCTCTTGCACTGCTCTCAGCAGGTGCTCAATGCACTGTGTTTTTCTTTTTTTTCTTTTTTTGAGACAGACTCTCGCTCTGTCACCCAGGCTGGAGTACAGTGGCGTGATCTCAGCTCACTGCAACCTCCACCCCCCCGGGGTTCAAGTGATTCTCCTGCCTCAGCCTCCCAAGTAGCCAGGACTACAATCATGGGTCACCACGCCTAGCTAATTTTTTGTATTTTTAGTAGAGATGGGGTTTCACTATGTTGGTCATGCTGGTCTCGAACTCCTTACCTCAAGTGATCCACCGTGCCTGGCCACAATGCACTGGGTTTTTCTGGCAGGCTGCAGGGCAACAAGACCAAGGCTGACAGGTAGCAAGTTTTTCCTTGCCTCCAAAGACGCAGATTTGATGATTATTCCCAGTGTCAGTCACTGGGCTGAAGACCTGCCACTCAGACTTCACTCAGTTAAACAGGGGTAGGATCAATAAACTTAGAAATATCTTAAGTAATTACCAAATAGAATTCTCTTAAAATTGCAAAGTTAAAAGTGACAGGGTCTATGGGTAATAAGAATGCTGCCATTAATAGGAATCTTCCTGTCAGTGCTGTTAATAAACAGCAAGTCATGTTTTGACAATAGAATATTTATGAAAGCAATAAACAGAACATTCACAGGAAGAATCTCATCTGTCAAAGACACATTTTCTGCAGAACGGCATCTGTGCACTTTGTACCAAGGCCAGCCTCACTGCCTTTTAATTACATTCCAAAGAAAAAAATGATTAAGAATGAATTTTTACATTTTTCAATAAAGAAAAAAATGAGAATTCACCTGAATATTTATGTTCTCTTACAGAAATTCAATTCAAAGCTAGTTATGGCTCTTAAGTGGGTCTGTAATGTTAAAAAAGGCAAATGAACACGTCATCTTTATGATCTTTACACTCTGATCTTATTCTTCTCTAAGAGACTAGGGTTCATCTGAGTTGTGCCATTTTGGCTGGGTGGAGCATTAGATAAATTATGGCAACACTAAGTTAGATTTCAGAGGTCTATTCAAAACACCTCTTAGCAGTAAACCTGGTAATGGTGGTAACAGTAACAGTAGCAACAGTACTAGAAGTCTTGAGAGTCAGTAAAATTAATATAGGAAACATCACATAGGGAACATGTCAACAGAAGAGTCACAGTTCAAATCCAGATCTGTCTGGCTCTAAAGCATAGGGTCTTTTCACTACGGTATATCAGATCCATTTGATTTTAAAGAGACTAGTTCTCCTCCAGAGATCATTTGCTCCTTGAAATACAATTGAAATCGGAATCAAGTCCCAGAAGGGACAGGGAAACATTTTATTTTAGGAGGGACCAATTCATTAATGAGCCAGCATCACATCCAGGATTGAGCAAACTCTATAGTCTGGCTGGCAGTAAGCCATTAAACAAAATTCTCAGAAAATCCCTGTCTCTAGCCATACAGTTATGAAAACACTGAAGAGGGTGAAGATGGTCTTATCGATAGCTAGGATAACATATAAAGAAAAACAAGAAAATAATCTTATAAGATGGCTGAAAATTCTGAAAATCTGTATCCTTTGAAAAGGAGGATAACTAAATTGAGAATGAACTGCTTTCTTAGGTTACAGGAGTACTACACAATTCAGTAGCTGCTCGACACAGTATCACCAAGTATGACTTCAATTCACAGTATCAGGCCTTTTCTGACTATTTACCGCATTTCATCAAATCTAAAACACCACTGATTGTAAAACAAAGAAATCAATATAATATGTACTACTAAGAAAAAGTACTTAAAAATACCATCAATTATAAGATATATCCTATTTACAGAAGTGTAAAGATGTGAAAAAATTTGATTTAGAATTACAGTAGTGTACTAGATACATCACATTCACTAAGTACAAAAGAGTGGGTAATCATACTGAATCTGGGCAAATATTTAAAAGTCATACATGTTCACAGACACTTTTTGCAGACAGACTTAGATCCTGATGAAAGAAGAAAGTTCACAGATGACAATACTACATGTCAGAAATTGCCATACTTAGGTTATACGTACAAAGTATAGTAACTGAAATGTAAGTTTAGTTATTTCACAAGTAGAATTTTGCTTATGAACCCTACCAGACACACACACAGACACACACATACACACATACAGACATGCACACAGACACACAAACAGACACAATTCCTTTTAAGCAAATATAAAGAAAAGAACAGAAGGAAGAACTACCCATTATAAAAGTACTAAGGGAGATTATATAGGCCAAAAACTATACTAATTGGTTATCCTCATATGATATCTGGCCATTTCTGATAAGTTGGGTAATAACATCAATATTTATTTACAAGATGGACTGAAGACTTAAACGTAAGACCTAAAACCATAAAAACCCTAGAAGAAAAACTAGGCAATACCATTCAGGACATAGGCATGGGCAAAGACTTCATGACTAAAACATCAAAAGTAATGGCAACAAAAGCCAAAATTGACATATGGGATCTAATTAAACTAAAGAGCTTCTGCACAGCAAAAGAAACTATCATCAGAGTGAACAGGCAACCTACAGAATGGGAGAAAATTTTTGCAATCTATCCATCTGACAAAGGGCTAATATCCAGAATCTACAAGGAACTTAAACAAATTTACAAGAAAAACACAACCCCATCAAAAAGTGGGCAAAGGATATGAACAGACACTTCTCAAAAGACGACATTTATGCGACCAACAACCATATGATAAAAAGCTCATCATCACTGGTCATTAGAGAAATGCAAATCAAAACCACAACGAGATACTATCTCATGCCAGTTAGAATGGTGGTCACTAAAAAGTCAGGAAACAACAGATGTTGGAGAGGATATGGAGAAATAGGAATGCCTTTACACTGTTGGCAGGAGTGTAAATTAGTTCAATCACTGTGGAAGACAGTGTGGCGATTCCTCAAGATTCTAGAACCAGAAATACCATTTGACCCAGCAATCCCATTACTGGGTATATACCCAAAGGATGATAAATCATTTTCCTCTAAAGACACATGCACACGTATGTTTATTGCAGCACTGTTCACAATAGCAAAGACTTGGAACCAAAACAAATGCCCATCAATGACAGACTGGATTAAAAAAAATGTGCCACATATACACAATGGAATACTACGCAGCCATAAAAAAGGATGAGTTCATGTTCTTTGCAGGGACATGCATGAAGCAGGAAACCATCATTGTCAGCAAACTAACACAGGAACAGAAAACCAAACACCACATGTTCTCATTCATAAGTGGGAGTTGAACAATGAGAACACATGGACACAGGGAGGGGAACATCACACACCAGGGC